GGAGTGCGGTAGGGGAAGAGGCGGTAGTAGGGGACCGACTCGTCAAACGTGACGTCCTGGGAGGACAGAACACGGCGAGAGGTGGGGTGGTAGAATTGCCACCCAGGCGCGTCAGGGGGGAAGCCAAGGAAGACGCAAGGAGTAGCACGAGGGGACTGCTTGTTCGCAGACAAGTCGCGGACAAACGCCCGAGATCCCCAGACACGGAACGCAGATGCATCGCCAAGCTTCCCGGTCCACAGCAAAGCTGGGGAGGTCTTTGGCATGGAGACTTTGGGCTGAAGGTTGATCTGATGCGTCGCGTACCGAACCGCAAACGGCCACAGAAAATGGGGGGCAGCCGCATGCATCATGGACGTACGGGCGACGTCCATGACCATGCCAATGCGGCGCTCAGCAATCCCATTTTGCTGTGGAGAGTCCAGAAGCGTGAAGGTCTGGTGGATGCCTCGTGCACGACAGTAGGCTTGCAGAAGGCTAGAGGAGAACTCTCCACCTCTGTCAGAGTGCAGACGCAGAACAAGAAAGTCCGAGCCCAAGCTCTGCCTGACTTGGAGACGAGCTGCGCGGATCAAGTCGATCAACACCTCAGTGACATCACCCTTGCTGCGCAAGGGGAATACTGTGGTGTAATGCGAGTAGTCGTCAACCACCAGCACGAAGTAGCGCTCGTGACCCTGTCCACCGACGCGGGCTGGGCCCCACACGTCCATGTGAAGCATCTGCAGCGGGGCCTCTGTCGGAGGAAACTGGGAGGAGTGAGGGGCAGCACGCTGCCACCCCTCGACGCAGGGGACGCAGGCAGGGGCAGGCCCCAGGGGAAGGGGAGGGAGGGACCGGGGAAGACCTGAGACAAGGACACGGGAGGCCATGCCTCCGATACGAAGCAGGGAGGGGTGACAAAGGCGGTGGTGCCAGAGGAGAGTCTCGTGAGACAGGAGGCGACACGAGCAGGGGGAGACTCAGGACCAGACCTGGACGCTGCAGCAAACACCTGACCCGACGCAGCTACCTGACCAGACGCAGTGACAGGAGGAGACTCAGTGGTCAGTGTGTAGAGGCTTGACCCCGGCCGACGTGTAAACGTGGCCAGGTGCCGGCCTGTCCGAGCGTCCGTGCAGTGGGTCACCCGCTGACTCGCAGGAGTGAACTAGTGAACCCCCGCATCCTGTAGGTCAGCACCACTCACCAAGTTCGTAGAGAACGAGGGGAGGTAAAGACCAGACAGGGTGCCAGAGGGGGCCGCCGGACACGGGAGGACAGTGGAGAAGTGAGCAAGGACAGGACCCCCAGAGGGGTCTGCCAGAGAGACTACAACTGGCGGACCAAGCGGCGTGAGTGTGGTGCGGTCTCGAAAGAAGGAGCGAGAAGCCCTCGAGTCAAGGGTGAAGGTGTGGGAGGCCGAAGCCGACGCGGTACCTAAGAGAGCAGACTCACCAGCACCTGAGGAAGCAGACGCACTGACACCTAGAGCAATAGCCTCGCTAGCACCTAGAGCAGCAGCCTCACCAGTACCTAGAGCAGCAGTCTCAATGCCCGGGTCTGGTGGAAAACACCCTTATCACTAATAGTTACAGCATATATGGCAGCAAGAATAGCATCAAAGTCAAGGTCAAAGATAGCTATTCCCGCCCTAGACAGCTCGCCCCAGCGAGGGATCTCAGTGGCGTCAGGGAACTGGTGACGCCAAGCGTCCGTCAGACGGCCAAAGCAGCGCTGGGTGGAGTGCGCACCCCCGCACTGCTCACCTGCGCGGTCGCCAATGCGTAGGACGTAGGTGCAGGGACCAGTACCCCCACCTTGCAGGCGTGCAGCATACCACTCACGGAGCTGCTGAGGGGGGGGGGATGTCACGAGTGCGCTGCTGCTGCGGACGCTGACCACCACCGGAGCCGACCCTCTGCGCAGCGCCACCCCGACCAGCTCCGCCTCCTCCGCCGCCGCCTCCTCCTCCGCCGCCACCTCCGCCACCTCCGCCCCCACCGCCACTGCCGCCTTCGCCTCCGCCTCCACTGCCGCCACCAACACCTCCACCCCCGCCACCACTCCCACCACCACCCCCACCCCCTCCACTGCCGCCACCGCCACCTCCGCCACCCCCGCCAGCCCCTCCAGCGCCCTTGCCCCCCTTGCCCTTGCCGGTGCGACGTCTTCCGCTCGGGGCAGACGCAGCGCCGACCAACTCGAAACCAACGAGGTCGGCCGCAGCAGCAGAGGCAATAGAGGGCAAAAGGGGGGAGGGGGAACACCCCTCAAAGACGGGGGTGCGAGGGTCACCACGAGAGGCTCCTACAGCGACTATGCTCTTTTGTGCCGCTAGAAGGGCCTTCTCGAGGAGGTCAACGATGAGAGTGGTGGGGCAAACTGAGAGGAAGTGGTCCTTGACTACGCGGAGAGAGTCAGGGAGCCGGGTGACTATGTAGTAGAGGGTGATGTACATGGGGGGGGGGGGGTTCTTGGCGCAGAACTCAGCAGGAAGTGCAGCGCGGTAGCGAGTGTCACTAGTGCGGAGGTGCGTGATGAGGTCACTGACCGTGGGAAAGGCAGCAAGGTCAGGGAAGAGGTACGGTAGTATGAGGCGGCTCAGTACAGCAGTGGCAGGGGAGGAGTAGCGTGCAACTACAGCGTCGTACAAGGTCTGAGCACTCTTGTACTGGCTAAAGTGCGCACGCTCAGAGGTAGGCAGGTGGCGACACACAGCAAGATGTGCAGCAGCATTGCGTGTGGCCCACTGTGAGCGAACAGTGGCGTCAGCATCAGCAGCAGGGGCAGGAGAGGCACCAGAAGTGAGGTCAAAGAGGGAGAGACTGTCTGCCCTATCGCACTGTAGGAAAACTTGCAGGTCATCTACCGAGACGTCATAGTCAATGGCCCGACCCTCAGCGTCAAAAGCGAGGACACTAGGGGTAGCCATGACAGCAGTAGACTAGCAGCGTGAACAGTAGGGTAAGGGCAGCGCGAACAGTAGAGGTGCTTCTCTTACCGGACAAGGCGGCTCGGGCGGCTTGGCGGCTCGGCAGGAAATGCAGCTCGGCGACTCGGCGGCTCTGGCAGCTCGGGGGACTCGGCGGTACGGCGGCTCGGCAGCAACTGCGGCTCGGCGACTCGGCGGCTTTGGCGGCTTGGGCGGCTCGGCGGTACGGCGGCTCGGCAGCTCGGCGACTCGGCGGCTCGGGCGGCTCGGGTGGCTCGGGCGGCTCGGCAGTAGCTCGGCGGCGCCGGCGGCTCGGTGGTGACGGCGGGGCCGTGTGGGGACGGCGGCGGGGCCGGTAGAGGCGGCGCCGGGGCCGGGAAGGGTAGCGCCGGGGATGCAGGGTAGGCGATGGGGCCACCAGAGGCGGCGCCAGGGCCGGGAAGGGTAGCGCCGGGGCCGGAGGGTAGGCGACGGGTCAGCAGAGGTGGCGCCGGGGCCGGGAAGGGCGGCGCCGGGGCCGGGAAGGGTAGCGCCGGGGCCGCAGGGTAGGCGACGTGGCCAGCAGTTGCAGCGCCGGGGCCGGAAAGGGCGGCGCCGGGGCCGGGAAGGGCGGCGCCGGGGCCGCATGGGTAGGTGACGGGGCCGCTAGGGCGGCTAGGAGGGGGGTCGCGAGGGCGGCTTGAAGAGGCCGCGAGGGCGGCACGAAAGGGCCGCGAGGGCGGCGAGAACGGGCCGCGAGGGCGGCGCGACGCGACGGAGCCGCGAGGGCGGCGGATCGGGGCCACGAGGGCGACGCGACGGGGCCGCAAGCGCGACGCGACGGTGCCGCTAAGGCGGCGCCACAGGGTCGAAAGAGGGGAGCGCGACTCGTGCAGAGTAGAGCGCGCTCCGAGCAGGAAAAAAAAGGTGGTGGGCCCTAGGAACAGTTCCCACAGGGGAACCTACTCGATACCATGAGAAAAATGAACGAGAATGAATTGACTAAGGGAAAGTTGGGTACAAGTGCAAACCCTAGAAAGTCGTACCCCATATGTGCTACCCCACTATAGCCTACAACAGCTATGTCATATAAATCTGACAAATATGGGGTACAACATTTCTAGGTTTTCCTACTTGTACCCACCTGCTTGCTAGTTCATTCATTCCTCATTCTTTACATGGTATAGAGCAGGTTCCCTCGTAGGAACGCTTCTTAGGGCCCACCACTGAACTTGACCAATTTTTTCCTGCCCGAGGCGCGCCCAGAAGGCCGCCCTCACGTCGCGCCCTCCTAGAGGCCCCTCGCGCCACCCTTAGCGGCCCCGTCGCCACCCCTTACGGCCCCGTCGCCGTCCTTTGCGGCCCTGTCGCCGCCCCTCTAGGCCCCTCACGGCCCCTTCGCGGCCCCGTTGCCGCCCCTCTAGGCCCCGTCGCCACCCCTCTAGGCCCCTTCGCGGCCCCGTCGCCGCCCCTCCAGGCCTCGTCGCCGCCCCTCTAGGCCCCTCGCGGCCCCTTCACGGCCCCGTCGCCGCCCCTATCGGCCCCGTCGTCGCCCCTCGAGGCCACGTCGCCGCCCTTTGCGGCCCCGTCGCCGCCCCTAGCGGCCCCGTCGCCGCTCTTCGCGGCCCCGTCGCCGCCTCTAGCGGCCGCGTCGCCGCCCTTCGCGGCCCCGTCGCCGCCTCTACCGGCCCCGTCGTCGCCTCTACCGGCCCCGTCGCCGCCTCTACTGGCCCCGTCGCCGCCCTTCACGACCCCTTCACCGCTGAGCCGCCCAGCAGCTGAGCAGCCGAGCCACCCAGCAGCCAAGCAGCCAAGCCGCCGAGCCGCCGAGCCGCCCAGCAGTAGAGCAGCCGAGCCGCCCAACAGCCGAGCCGCCCAGCAGCCGAGCCGCCGAGCCGCCCAGCACCCGAGCCGCCGAGCTACCGAGCCGCCCAGCAGCCGAGCCGCCGAGCCGCCCAGCAGCCGAGCCGCCGAGTCGCCCTGCCGTCGAGCCGCTCCTGTCACTGCCGAGCCGCTGCCACCACGGTTACAGCCCTGTTCCTACCGGCGCGCCCCGGCCCTGCTCACTCGGACTGGTGAGATCACTCCTTGCTAGACCACTGCTGTCATGGCTACCCCCAGTGTCCTTACCTTTGATGCTGAGGGTCGTGCTGTTGACTTTGAGGTCTGGGTCGATGACCTCCAGCTTTTCCTGCAATGCGATAGGGCAGACAGACTCTCCCTGTTCGATCTCACCTCTGGTGCCGCTCCTGCCCCGCCTACTGATGCTGACAGCACTGTTCGCTCACAGTGGGCCACACGCGATGCTGCTGCCCGTCTTGCTGGGCGTCGCCACTTAGCGACCACTGAGCATGCGCACTTTAGTCAGTACAAGAGTGCTAAGACCTTGTACGACGCTGTAGTTGCACGCTACTCTTCCCCTGCCACTCCTGCTCTTAGCCGCCTCATGCTGCCGTACCTCTTCCCTGACCTTGCTGCTTTTCCCACAGTCGCTGACCTCATTACGCACCTTCGCACTAGTGACACTTGCTACCGCGCTGCGCTTCGTGCTGAGTTCTGTGCCAAGAACCCCCCCCCCCCCCCCATGTACATCACCCTCTACTACATAGTCACCCTGCTCCCTAACTCCCTTTGCTAAGTCAGGGACCACTTCCTCTCCGTTTGCCCCACCACACTCACCGTTGACCTCCTCAAGGAGCACCTCCTAGCAGTAGAGAAGAGCATAGTCGCTGTAGGAGCCTCTCGTGGTGGCCCTCGCACCCCCGTCTTTGAGGGGTGTTCCCCCTCCCCCCTCTTGCCCTCTGTTGCTTCTGTTGCTGCGGCCGACCTCGTTGGCTTCGAGTCGGTCGGCGCTGCGTCTACCCCTAGCGGGAGACGCCGCACCGGTAAGGGCAAGGGGGGCAAGGGCGCTGGAGGGGCTGGCGGGGGCGGTGGAGGTGGTGGTGGAAGCAGTGGAGGGTGTGGGGGTGGTGGTGGGAGTGGTGGCGGGGGTGGAGGTGTAGGTGGCAGCAGTGGAGGCGGAGGAGGCGGCGGCGGTGGCGGAGGGAGCGGAGGCGGCGGAGGTGGCGGAGGCGGCGGAGGTGGCGGAGGCGGCGGCAACAGCAGTGGAGCTGGTCGCGGCTCTGCGCAGAGGAGTGGTTCCAGTGGTGGTCCGCGCCAGCAGCAGCAGCAGCGCACTCGTGAGACCCCGTCCCCCCAGCAGCTTCGTGAGTGGTACGCTTGGCGTCAGCGAGGTGGGGGTACTGGTCCCTGCACCTACGTCCTCCGTACCGGTGACCGCGCTGGTGAGAAGTGCGGGGGCTCGCACTCCACCCAGCACTGCTTCAGCCGCCTGACGGACACGTGGCGTCACCAGTTCCCTGACGCCACTGAGATCCCTTGCTGGGGAGAGCTGTCTAGGGCGGGGGTTGCTATCTTTGATCTTGATTATGATGCTATTCTTGCTGCCATGTATGCTGTGTCTACTAGTGATGAGGGAGACTATTACCTGTGTGTTCCGCCTGACCCGAGCATTGAGGCTGCTGCTCTAGGTGCTGGTGAGGCTGCTGCTCTAGGTGCTGGTACGTATGCTGCCCCAGGTGCTGGTGAGTCTGCTCTCTCAGGTACCACGTCGGCTCAGGCCTTACACACCTTCACCCTTGACTCGGGTGCGTCCCGCTCCTTCTTTCGAGACCGCACCACTCTTACGCCGCTTAGTCGACCGGTTGCAGTCTCCCTGGCAGAACCCTCTGGGGGTCCTGTCTTTGCTAGCTTCTCCACTGTCTTACCGTGCCCGGCAGCCCCCTCTGGCACCCTGTCAGGTCTCTACCTCCCCTCGTTCTCTACGAACTTGGTGAGTGGAGCGGACCTACAAGATAGGGGGGTTGACCAGTTCACTCCTGCGAGTCAGCGAGTGACCCACTGCACGTGTGCTCGGACAGGCCGACACTTGGCCACGTTCACCCGTCGGCCAGGGTCGAGCCTGTACACCCTTACTGCTGAGTACGACTACTCGCGTTACACCACGGTGTTCCCCTTGCGCAGCAAGGGTGACGTCACTGAGGTGTTGATCAACTGGATCCGCGCAGCTCGTCTCCAACTCAGAGAGAGTTTTAGGCTCAGACTTTCCTGTTCTGCGTCTGCACTCTGACAGAGGCGAGGAGTTTTCCTCTGCTCGTCTGGGAGCCTTCTGTCGTGCACAGGGCATCCGCCAGACCTTCACGCTTCCGGCCTCTCCACAGCAAAATGGGATTGCTGAGCGCCGCATTGGCATGGTCATGGACGTCATGGTCCATGATCCATGATTTCTGTGGCCGTTTGCGGTCCAGTACGCACCGCATCAGCTCAACCTTCAGCCCCCGGTCTCCTTGCCAGAGACCTCCCCCACCTTGCTGTGGACGGGGAAGGTTGGTGATGCATCTGCGTTTCGGATCTTGGGATCTCGGGCGTTTGTCCGCGACTTGTCTGCAGACAAGCTGTCCCCCCGTGCTATTCCCTGTGTTTTCCTTGGCTTCCCCCCTTACGCGCCTGGTTGGCAGTTTTACCACCCCACCTCGCGCCGTGTTCTGTCCTCCCAGGACGTCACCTTTGACAAGTCGGTGCCTTACTACAGTCTCTTCCCCTACCGCACTGCGCCCCTTCCTCCGCCGCCGCTCTTCCTTGCGCCAGGTCCTCCCCCGGTAGACCCTCTCCCCCCTCAGGGTCCTGCCCTGTCAGGGGTGTCCAAGGTAGACCCAGTTGAGCTTGTCGAGGTAGCTGTTGCCTCTAGTGCTGCTAGAGGTGCTGAGCCTGCGGGTGCCGGGTCTGGAGGTTCTGAGTCTGGGGGTGCGGAGCCTGGGGGTGCTGAGTCTAGGGGTGCTGAGCCTGGGGGTGCTGAGCCTGGGGGTACGGAGCGTGGGGGTGCTGCGCCTGGGGGTACGGAGCCCAGGGGTGCAAGGTCTTCTCGTGTGGCCTCTGGTGGTGCTTTGTTGAAGAGGGAGCTACCCTCTCTGCAGGAGCTGCGCGAGTGGTTTGCCCGGCGCTTGAGCCGTGCTGCTGGAGCTGGAGGTGCTCGTACTGACGGTACTGGAGCTGCTGGGATTGGGGGTGCTGCTGAGGCTGCTTAAGTTTGTCCTGCTTGAGGTACTGCTAGAGCTGATGGCGGTACTGGAGCTGCTAGAGCTGGAGCTGCTGGGGGTGTTGGCGTTGGAGGTGCTACTGGCGTTGGTGCTACTGGAGCTGCTGGAGCTGCTAAAGCTGGAGCTGCTGGGGGTGTTGGCGCTGGTGGTGCTGCTGGCGCTGGTGCTTCTGAGGGTGGTGGAGCTCGTGTTGCTGGAGCTGGAGGTACTGCTGGCGCTAGTGCTGCCTCTGGGGGTACTGGTGCTGTCCCTGCTGATTCTGGAGGCGCTGCACGGCCGCGGCCGTACTTTGTTCCGCTCCTTGAGCAGGTTCTTGGTCTCTCACCCTCTTCTGGTCCTGCTCCTCCCTTAAAGTGTCCAAAGCCTGTCCAATCACGGTCACAGTTACAGCCCGCCTCCCCCCTACCTGCTCCTTCTCCCTACACTGGTCCTACTGGAGGTCTTGCTGAGCATCGTGAGCCTGCGTCTCGTCCTGCGTCGCCTGTTCGTGCTGCTCGCACTAGTAGTTGTGCTCCGCGTCCACGTCCTCCTCCCGTCCCAGGTACACACCAGATGGCACAGCGTCCGTCCACTGCTCCTCTGCGTGTCCCGTTGCCGTCTCCTCCAGAGTCCTCTCTTCCTGTTCTTGCTGACACGGAGTCTGACTCTCTTCGTGCTACCAGTCCTACTGTCACGCGTCTCCTGGCTACTGTTGTCACTGACCCTTCCTTTGAGTCCACTGCTGCGTCTGCCTTAGTTGCTGAGCTTGCCGACTTTGCTGCTCGCTGTCGTCTAGACTACGCCGCTAGTCTCGTTGCTGAGTCTGAGTCTGTCTGTCCTCCGTCCGTCGGGGGTGAGTTTGCTCTTAGCACGGACGTCCTTGAGGACTGGTAGGAGGAGTTCCGGTGCTTTGCTGCTGCTTTGCCCCATCTCGTGTCTACGCTGATTGCCCCTGAGGGAGACCCGGATGCACCAGACCTCCCGACTCCTCGATCGTACACTGAGGCGATCGAGGGTCCCTACTCCTCTCAGTGGCAGTCAGCCATGGACGCAGAGATGGCTTCTTGGAAGTTCACAGGCACCTACGTCGACGAGGTTCCCCCACCTGGGGCGAACATCGTCAGTGGCATGTGAATTTTCAGGGTGAAGCGGCCGCCGGGTTCTCCGCCTGTCTTCAAGGCGCGGTACGTGGCTCGAGGCTTCAGTCAGCGGTAGGGAGCTGACTACTTTCAGAGCTTCTCTCCCACCTCGAAGATGACCACTCTCAGCGCGACTACGAGCTTCACTCTCTCCACTTCAGCACAGCTTTCTTGCAAGGCAGCCTGCACGAGGAGATCTGGCTGCGCCGCCCACCTGGCTTCACTGGGTTGTTTCCTCTTGGTACCTAGTGGAGCCTCCGGCGGCCAGTCTACGGTCTCCGCCAGGCGCCCCATGAGTGGCATGACACACTGAGGACTACACTTGCGGCTCTTGGGTTTGCTCCCTCTACTGCCGACCCGTTCCTGTTTCTACGCACCGACACCTCTTTGCCGCCATTCTACATCTTCGTGTACGTCGACGACTTGATCTTTGCCACTGCTGACACTGCTGTTCTCGCCCACGTGAAGTCCGAGCTGCAGAAGAGACACACGTGCACAGACCTGGGTGAACTGCGCAGCTGCCTTGGCTTGCAGATCACCTGGGACAAAGCACAGCGCACCATTACCCTGACTCAGTCACACATGGTGCAGCAGGTCCTTCAGCGCTTCGACTTCACGTACTCCTCGCCTCAGGCCACTCCTCTGTGTACCCGCCACTCGCTCTCAGCTCTGCCTTTGGATGAGTCCGTAGAGCCGAGTGGCCCGTACCCAAAGCTTGTTGGCTGCCTCATGTTCCTGATGACCTGCACACGACCTGGCCTAGCATACCCTCTTAGCATCTTGGCATGCTATGTTGCTCCTGGGAGACACCGACCAGAGCACATGGCTGCAGCGAAGAGGGTGTTGCGCTACTTGTGCAGTACGTCGGGCATGGGGCTAGTGCTTGGAGGGCGACGTCAAGTGGTCCTCACAGGTCACGCAAACGCTTCTTGGGCTGACGACCAGGCTACGCAGCGGTCGTCACAGGGTTACACCTTCAGCCTTGGCTCCGGCTCTGTTTCGTGGCGGTCTACCCGCTCGTCTTCTGTTCTCGGCTCCAGTTGTGAGGCTGAGATCTACGCGGGGGCCATGGCTGCACAGAAGCTACGCTGGCTCACCTACCTGCTGACTGACCTAGGAGAGCCGCCTTGTTCTCCTCCAGTTCTGTACGAAGACAACAAGGCCATGTTGGCCTTGTGTCGGGAGCACAGACTGGAGCACAGAACGAAGCACATTGCTCTTCGCTACTTCCTTGCTCGTGAGCTGCAGCAGCGTGGTCGCCTGCACCTTGCTTACGTGGCCTTTTAGGCCAACACTGCTGATATCTTTACCAAGGCACTTCCGCCTTGTGATCATCAGCGCTTCTGTACGATGCTAGGTCTTGTGCCTACTTGGCCTCACTTGCTCACATCTTGACCTTGCTTGTACTGTGATCTTTCTATACTTGCACTTGCTTGTTTACCTTTATATATGATCTTGCATGTGAACTGGCCTTTTGGCCTTGCTCTTGTGCTCGGACTGTGTGGTGACGTTGTGATCCACCCTGAGCTTGCTTTGCTTTGCTTGACTGGTCTTGTGACCTCTTGTTCTCCCCCACTCTGCCTATGGGGGTGTGTCAAACTTATATGCTATAGTCTGTGTAGGGCGTAGTGGGGTAGACAATATGGGGTACAACATTTCTAGGTTTTCCTACTTGTACCCACCTGCTTGCTAGTTCATTCATTCCTCATTCTTCACACCCCTCGTGCCACATGCACGACCAAGATTTTTTCTCGGTCGTGCTGTACAGCGCGCCATGATCGAAATCATGCGCGTGTACAGTACGGGACAGAGCTGAAATGGGCCCTGTCTTGTTGCGATCGTGCTGTACAGCACGCTCGCAACAGTACGCGGCACAGGTGCGTGCCCTGTGGTCCCACACGCGCGTACCTTGACCCACGATCGGGTCTTGACTTTCACTCCTTTGACCATCGCGAGAAAAGTCAAGGCACCTCTTGACCAGTCAAAGAATCGAGCACCCTTCGGTACACCACCCGCTCACATGAGGCTCCAATAAGTCTCGCATGAAAATTGGAGACTCGTGGGACTTTCATGGTCACTCGCTTGAGCCTGCCATGAAACATTTATGTCCCATGCGAGCTTCGTTTGAGCTCCATAAGGTCTTCATTTGAGCCTCATTTGAGAGCTTCGCATGAGTCTCATTTGAGAGCTTCGCATGAGCCTCATTTTAGAGCTTCGCATGAGTCTCATTTGAGAGCTTCGCATGAGCCTCATTTGAGCGCGTCATGAGGGCCTCATTTGAGAGCTTTGCATGAGTCTCATTTGAGCGCGTCATGAGGGCCTCATTTGAGCGCTTCATGGGAGCTTCATGAGAACAGGGAAAACGAAACAAATAATGCAAAAACACAAAAGGCACTTATGAATGAAAACGAGACACACAAAATGCTAGAACAGATGCGCACAGAACGTTCACAAAATGAAAATGAAAAATGCGCACACACACAAATGTGCAAAATGCGACGGAGGCGGCTAGTTGATGTGCAAAAATAAATATTTGCACCCAACAATTCAAACATGGGTACTCCGTGTACGCAGAGATTGCTATGGCATGGAAACAGAAGCTGTTATAGTGGGAGAAATACTAATCTATAAGGAAGGGTTCAGGAAAGATTTGGGTACCAAACTATGCCCCACTTTGACAAACTTTTTCTGGATGAGTTTCACAACGTGGGATACGCGGGACATTTTGGGAGTAACAAGACGCTAGCAGGAATAGCAAAATATTACCACTTGCCCTACATGGCAGCAGGCGTGCAGCAGTTCGTTACCTCATGAGACACTTGCCAGCGGATAAAGAGCAGCAAGAAAAAAAAGTAGGGTTACTTCAGCCTCTACCTGTACCTGAGCAGCCATGGCAACTTGTTGGCCTAGATTTCATCACCTGACTTCCTTCAACCTCACGAGGGCATGACGATACACTCGTGGTGATCGCCAAGTTCTCTAAAATGGGACAATTCATTCCGACCAACGCTACGTCTACAGCTGAAGCAACTGCTCGCCTCTTCTTCGACCGCATCACCTTCCATGGCATCCCCGCACCCAATATTCACTAGTAAGTTCTGGAGGGAGCTCATGGGATTGTAGGGGGCAACGCTTGCGATGTCTTCAGCGTACCACCCTTAGACAGACGGAAAGAATGAGTAACTCAATCAGGTGCTTGAACAGTTACCGCACACAGCTTGCAAAGACGACATCAGCCACTGGTATGTACAGTTACCGACACTTGAGTTTGCTTACAACAACGCGTAACATGCGGCCACAGGGAAAAGTCCTTTTTTCCTGTGCTACGGATGGGAACCACTTACGTCGCAGCAGCCAACCACACCTGCACACGTCCAAGCTGCACATGAATTTGTCATCACCATGCAGCAGCTATGGGAGAAGACTCAGCGACATCTCACCACAATGCAGAACTCCCAGAAACAGTATGCCAATCGACAGCGACGTGATCACTCAA